TACGGATAACCAATATTAGTGGTTGAACTGATATTGTTGTTAGGCATCTTATCATACCAAGAATAGAAATCTGAAAAATCTTAGTCGATAAAAATGCATTAAATAAAGTGCTATCTTTTTTCTTCTAAAATATTGCGTGCAAAAAAATAAAAATATATAATAAAGAATTATCTGAAGCGTTTGTCTAATGACAGTTATTTATCACAAATGGAAATGGATGCGTTTATCCAAAAGTTTAATGATATAGAATGAAGCGTGACTTTTTAAGTTAATATAGTAAAGCCTAGATTCTTTTTTTTTTATAGAAAATCTGGATTCCAATTTGAAACATGATAAAACTTACTTGAACTTATACTGGTTACATCAATCGATTAACGAATTTATACGTTATTATCAATATATAATTCGTGATGAGAGAAAAATGTTACTAATAATCTAGAACAATTATGTATGACAACTAGACTTCAAGTGATTTGAAAAACAATATATAATGCAAATTTATATTTTATTCATTGATTATAGACATAATTCATAATGTTAAATCTATTAAAGAATGTTGTAAAGCAATCATTCGACTGACTTCTTTATTGAAAAGAAGAATTTAAGCGAAAATAATAATAATTAAATGAACTAAATTTCTTGTCATTTCCTAAAACTTTTCTCGAACATTTGTCTCAGTACATTTTGCTCACTAATTACTTCTCATGTATATTTTCATACGTAATATACTAATATTAACTGAACTGTTTTGATAAAAAGTATTCGAATTATCGAGTTGCAATTAATATTTTTTATCACGTTCTTCACCTTCTCACCACATCAATTTCATTTTATTGTAGACACTCTGCTAAAATTCATTCCGTCATATCTGCAATATCTTAAAATTTAGTATTATTGCTACTGTCATAGTTAGCTATCAAAATCTCAAGTTTTTAAATAATAGTTTTCTATGAAACTAATTTATTGTGAACCCGATAAATTTTAACGAAGTAAGCAACCATTGAGATTTACCTTTTTCTTTCTTGCTTATTTAAATTTAATTGCCGGAACTTCGAGTAAACACGTTGTTTCAAAGAAAATAAAAGAAAAAGAATTTAGACATGAAATGTTTAGCGTAGGAGCTGCGTTGTTGCAAGCAGGAGCATTTTATGATCATTTACCAAAGTTAAAAGCTATTTTGACTTCGGTAATGTATGAAAAACTTGTCAAAACTAATGATATGTTAACAATTCATCAAACTTGAATTGAAGAATGCAATATTTCATATAAATTGTCCTTTAAGTATGCCACAAACGAAAAATTAAAAAAGAAATTTTTTTTGTTCTTTTCTTTTTCTTTGATATCGTTAGATGGAAGTTGATCAAGTATACGTGCGTTTTCAATTTTTTCGAATGATTTTTTAGGGGAAAAATTTCAGTTTTTTAGGAGGACCTACATTTTCTGAAAAACAGATCAATTTTTTCATTTCTTTTAAATTTCAAAATGAGTTTTCTGGATTCAGTTTTTCATGCTAAATCTGAAACAAACAGTTTTAAAAATTGAAGAAAACACAAAACATTGATAATTTGTCGGTTACCAAAAATTGACGTTGTGTCAACAAAAAAAAAGTCAATCATCAGAAAAAACTGTAATTGTTTCCCTAAAAAATCATTTCAAAAAATTGAAAACACACAAATTCTTGATCAACTCGTCATGGTTTATCTAACCATATATAAAGAAGAGAAAAAGAACTAAAGTTATTCTAATTAAAAAAAAACTACTAACACAGAATAAACTTTAGTTGATCAGCTACCATCTATAACAAAGTATCGATTAACACTCACTATCTTCTATCGTCTTTATGACCTTATTTTCAAATTGTAGGCAACACTTTTTTAGTTAATAAGACAATTAAAATCCACGCAAGACATTATTATAGAAATCAAAGTGCAGCATGAGAAAAATGAAATACAAATAAGATTAGAGCGATAAAGGTGGAAGAAATAACAAAATTAACACTTTGATTTTGTCAATCTATAGTTTCACTTCTCTAAACATTTATTTCACTTAAAGTTACATATTAAATACACGTAGAAACTATTAGAAAATGATATTTGATAGTTTTCTCAACTTCTAATATCATTATCAAAATGCATTAATCTCCTAAAGCATGATGAACCATAAGTTTTCAAATCTCTCACAAAACTCCTTGCACTCAAAAATTGATCTTGGACGAAATACATTCAAATTGCATGAAATTTTCAGGTCTATAACATAACGTTTTCAGGAGATACTCAACAAACCAATTATTAAAGAGCTTAATTCATAAAACGGGTTCTGACAGGTACTACAATGTCACATGCTTTTTATAAACGAACAAAAAAGCAATTTTCTAAAATGAAGCGTCTCGGAGAATTCTGGGATATACGATCAGACAAACATAAACAGAATACGACCTCAAAATATGCTCGCCTGTATTTCTCTTAATTTCGATAATTTTTACGGAAATAGTCCCTTTTTGATGAGTAGAAGATTTGAACACATTCACTACTCGATAGGTCGTAACTGGCATCTTTGAATCTCTTTTTCCTGCGCGTTGTTGCATGTTATAATTTTACCATTTCCTTTTCATGTAGGAAAATGTATTATTAGTAGATAATCATTTATATATATAGAGAGAGAGAAAGAAAAGATATTTCTGAGATGTCTCATTGAGCATAAAAGCATCATCACACTATTTTCCCTTTTCATTCCATAGAGTTATTTTTAACTAAACATAAAAGAAATTATATTTGTCGAATAGAATTTTTTATATCGGATTGAGCAGTGTTACATTATATATCTTTTAACTATTGTAATATGAATTCAGAACATATCAGCTTCCGTAGATTTTTAACAATATTTTGAAGATTTGTTTTTTAAAATTTACTTTCGTATTAATTTAATGTACTTGGTGATTCAAACGCCATTTTATCGAAGAAAATAATTGAACATGTCGGTCATCTTTTGATCAAATGAGATAGGTTTTTAATAATTACGAACAAAATATTCATAGCTCAAAATTATAAAGAACACATTCATAAAACTGCTTTGAAATACTTCAATTAGGAACTATAAAGTTGCATGAGTTATAAAAATAACAAAATACGTAATTATTTCTTTTTGATGAAAATCTTTACGCTATGGTCGTTTGATCTTCTCTTTCTAATATAGACACATACCTTATTACTTAAAGTTTCAACCATAAATACCAAGAACTTATTGAACAGAAAAAACTGGAAACATATCTTATGTACTCTTGTATCAATAAAACCAATATTCGTTGTAATGCTTAGCCTGCTAGGATTTCTTATTCAATTTGAATTCTTCAATGATAGTTAAGTGTTTATCAACATCCATTACATATGAGAATATCGTTCGGAAACGAACAAATTAAGTATTACAGCGAATTTTGATTACATCTACATAAGACTACATTAAACATGTTTGCAGATTTTTTTTCAATAAAGTCTAGCTAGTTTTGGTTGAAAATTTAAGCTTAGACATAATAGTGTGAAGAATTCATCGAAAAAAATAATGTGTCTTGCTATTCTTATAACTCGTGCAAGATTTTAATTCTTTATTGAAATACTTCAAAGTAGTTTTATTAATGTATTTTTTATAATTTTGAGCTATGAATACTTCTTTCTTAGTTATTAATATATGATCTCATGAGATCAAAAGTTGACAGTGGTGCTCAGTCTTGCAGTTTCTAAAACTCGATCGATTTCGCCAAGTATACATTTGCTCGTTGTTGATGACGAACGTCATCATTTTGGATACATAGATGACATGATCAACTATCGATCACCCATACATGGACAGAATTAGAACTTCAAAGTGAAGAAAGCTGAATCGACCATTTAAAGTAGAACGATTAATAGTATTTGAAATAGACGCTTTTCTATTCGTGAGCAGCATTGAGTAATCTGGACATGGGAAATCTATCTTTGAATGGACAACGCGAAAATTTATATAAAAGATGATAGTGGAATACATTATCAAACAAGGATCGTACAAATGTTAGATGTCTACAAACCAAAATAATGCGTTCAACAACTGTCTATTTTTGATGAGATTCTGTAACAAAACTCGCTTATATTGCTAATTTTTGAGCACAGGTTGATTTAACATTCGTCTTCGTTTTCTAGAAATATTGCATTACGGAACTTTATTAATATCTGAATTTTGTGATATTTTTAGACCATTAAACGTTTTGCATTGTTTTTGTTCACAATTTTGCACATATTTGAAATTGGTATCGAATTCTGAACAAAATGAAGTAGTTAGTTAATAAAAAAAAAGAACTTCAACTTTTATTTTTTTCCGATTGAAGAATTTTTTTTCGTTGGATTCTATTGAAAAATATAACATTTGATGTAGAACCGAATGCTGGTGATGAATATCTGGTCGTTTTTAGCTTTTTTGTTTCCATCTTGGTTCAAACCGATTTTCAGAAAAAGAATGAAATTCCGTAACGCTTGATCATGCCGTATATAAATGCTTTTTTCATCACGATAATATATTTTCCTCTGTATGTATTCAGTTACTGCTTCTATTTTAAATTAGAAGTTTGAAAAAGTAAAAATATTTTCAAACATCGAAATCTCACTAATTGCCGAGTAAGATCCGAGTATGAGATCATGTCCGGAATCTGAACCGGCACTTGTTTTCATGTCCGGTATCCAAACTTATGCTCTGCATTGGGTACCCGATCCAAGTATTCAACTAAATTTCATTTCATACTAGCTTAATCCATCAATACATACAATCATTTATAGTTGTCATAATTTATTCTCACTATTTTAAGCAATACCGACTAATGCATAAGCTCTATTTGTCAAAAAAAAAAACATGTGATATAAACAAAAGTTAATGAAATGAACCTGAGAAGAATAACTTGTTTTACAAAAACAAAACAAAAAAAAACTAATCTTTTAAATATCGGAATACGAAGAATAATTACAAAATAATAATAGTGCTTATTTAGTTCCAGTCGTTCGTTTTGTTGGTGAAATTTTTCGATTAGAACCTTGAGAACGTTTACTTCCTCCACTTGATGTTGACATTGTTTGAGAATTTGGTGGTGGTAAAAATATTGATCGTATACTTGGATCAGCAATACCAATACGATAAGGATTATGTAATGATTGTGACTGAGAATTACCACTTGTTATTTGAATATCTGATGAAGTCCATATAACTTTTTTCGGTGAACTATTCGGCCGTCCTGGAGTATCGTCATCACTTAAAGCAATAATTTCATCATCACTATCATCAATAATTTGACTATTATCATCTTCCGTATTTTGTTGTTGAGATGATGATGGTACAGCTGATGTCTATAGATAAATGATATAAAGTTTATTTTATTCATTTTCTTTATAATGGATGAATTCTTGAACGTCGTTTAACATGAATACGTGGTCGTTGATCATCAAATATATGTTGTTCAAGTGATGTATATGTTGGTGAACGACGTAATGCTTCAAGAATTTCATCATGAAGATTTTCTTCATCACCATTTGTTAATTGATTATCTATTACTAATGCATCACATATATCATGAATAAGACCAAGTTCACGATCTAATTTACGTTTATAATCATCTAAATCATCATGAATTTGATCGATTGTTTCACGTGTATTAGTATTATGTATTTGTAAAGCTTTACATGATTGTTTCATAATATTACTTTTTAAATCACGTCCCCATTTAATAATTAAATCAAGTTTAGACCGTAAAGTTTTTTGTTCATTTGTATAACCACGAAAAGAACCTGGACTTCGACCAGGTGTACTTGTCATTATTAGAAAAGAAAAAAAAACACCAAAAATTCTATATGATGAATGATTAAACTGAATAAATTATTGAACTAGAACGAAAGAAAGAGATTAATAAATCAGTCAATCAGAAACGATTACAAAACCTTTATAGGGAAGAATAAATTGTCAAAGTGCATGATAAATTTAATCTCAAATAACAATTTTTGCTAAACATAAAATCGATAAAAGAAAAAAACAAATTATTGAAGTTTTTCAAAAATAGATTTCATATGACAGTCATCTGTTGTTGAGCGACATCTATTGAAAATTTGCCATTATGAGAAAACCTCTCCAGATATCAAATTGCTTTCAGATCGAGAGGATGTTTGTTTGATGAGTGCTAAAGAGTAATAAAAAAATCTGGACCTTCGTTCTTGAGATATCGATGTTTTACCAGGTTTTGTCAACAAAAAACTATGGTCTTCTCAGGTCACGAAAAAGTTTTTGACTTCAAACTTTGTACGAACAAAGTTCTTAATGAGATTAGTTCATTGAACAAGTTGTAACTTTTCTAGTATCTCCTATCGTGAAATATTCAATATTCGAAATTCTCTCATATGAAAAAGTAAATTGATATCTTCGTAAAGAAAATGCAAGAAAAGCTAAAACTTAAACAATGTACAAATCTCATTGAGAATTCTATTCTTGCAAAGTTTGAAATCGAAACTTTTCACATGACCAGAAGGTAACCACGATGTTTTGTGTAAAAGTTTACTATAATTTCGATATCCCAAGAATAAAGGCCTGGAAAATCAAACCATTCTAGATTTTTCTATTACTTTCTAGCATTCATCAAATGAACATCGTTTCGACCGAGAAGCGATATGAAATCTGCAGAGATTCTGTCGTCAATAGGATAAGTTTGAGGAAAAAGGAAGCATAGCTTATCAGATGATGTTTTCTAAAAATTAAATCTTATCTAATATTTTTTTTTTGACTTTCCAAGACAAAAGGTCATCATTAAATATTTCAAACATAGTTAGACGTTTAAAATACACGTCAAATGCTTATATTTGATTAATGAATAGTTAAAAATTGAGACAATGATCGATTATATTTCATTAGTATGTATTTATTCTAATCGAAGGTGACCTTGATGTTTTGTTGTCGATTAAGAGTAGAAGAGATGACATTAGAATATCTTTTAAACGATGTTCTTTGTGAGAATTTGCAGCTGAAATAATAATAATAATAACAAATGTTTAAAATTTATTAGGAAAATTCTGTCATTTTCGAATCTATATTGATATCCATCGACATGCAACTCTTCCATTATAGTTCAATATTATTCTTCGAAATCAGTTATTTTTAACAAGGAGTTCCGAAGAGTTAGTTCATGACGAGACATCAGGGTTGATTTGACCATGTCTTGTTCGTTAACAATTTTATTCAATTTATCTATCGATTGTGATACTGGACGAATTGTTTTGGTTATTGGAAAGCAATATCAGAAATTTTAATTAGAAAAGAACGATGTCTCTCTACTGACACCATTCATAAAGCAAAGATATCATGCGTCAAAATTTCACGGACATATTACTTTTTTTTCTAATTGTGCTATTTAAACGCACATTAAATATTCACATACAATTCTATTATAATAATTGAAAGCGGTTAGTGCAATCCCTCTGGGTTTAAAAATGTGAAGCACGATGTAGATATTGTTGATAATCACAAGAAGATTGTTTTATTCAATCTATTTTAAGACACATTTTCACAGTATTCTGTTACTTAATTTTTGAGAAATCCAATAAGGAAGTAGTTCTTCTGTTATATCGAGATGTTATTGATATACGTATATCAACAACGTTTGCACGATCTGTGGGGAGTTCAAATTGTTTCCCCTTTACTTCAAGGCTCCTTTTAGATCGTGTTACAGTAGGAAATTTCTATAGAGCACTTAGACATGACTTATTTTCTATTGAAAATGCATTTTTTTTTATAGATATATTCATTTCCAGTACTCAACAAAAAAATGATATTTCGTAAAAGAACATTTTCATTGGAAAATATATGAAACGATTCTCATCCACATACGTTCACTGATACCTATAGAATTCAAGTCGTACTCTCAATAGCCCTAATAAGGAAAAATCCTGATGTTTCACAAATCGATATTTCGTTTATTATCATCTACTTCTCCGGTATCCAACAGAGAGTTTTAGTATGTTTTAGACGATTGTCTATCAAAGATTGATTTTGCAATAGAATAATCATTGATTCTGTCACCATCTAAAACAATCTAATAATAAATTCCGCTACTGCCTTGCCTTGTCAAGGATCTAGCATAAAAACGTGTGTTTTATTATGCATTTTTTTAAGCATATGTAACGATTATTATTTCTTTTATTACATTAGATCAAATAAAGTATATTTAATAAATGTAAATAGATTCAAAAAAACAAAAAAATATATAATGAGACCGAAAATGAATAACTATCATTTATTTCTTTTTCTTTTACTGAATGCATAAGTAATGTGTTGTTTACTTTTTATGGATTTATCTGGAGTTGACCTTCAAAACCATCAGCACTAAATTGTCGTTCGACATTAGCTTTAGCTACACTGGAATTGAATACAGTGATCGAGCAAGTTTTAATAAGATAGGATAAATGAGTCGTCAAATATCATACTCGCTTCGTCCTTTGACGCTATACAACATGATAAACACTTTCAAATTCTATCAAAATATACAATCGTTTTTTTTTATTAATAAAAAGATATTTCTATAATAGTGAGAAATTTGAAACTAGTGGCAGAGTTCAATTCGTTGGTATCTAATACTAATGAAGATATCTTTATTGCATTCGATTTATTACCTATCATATAATTGTAAACGAATAAAATAAATCTACAAAAGCAATAATAATACTCCAAGCATTTTCAGAATATGTCATTGTTTTTTGTAAAACTATATTTTTATAGTGACAATCTAATTAAAATACAAATTGTAATTCTTTATTTCTGTTCTCTAATGTCTATCGTTTAATTATTTTAAAGACTTTTTTCTTTTCATTTTGAATAAAATGAGCTATAGCCATTCATTTGTTTGTTTCAAGTATATATGTTTATGTAAAAAAAGAAAATGTTCTTTATGATCATATATGTTCAGACAATCGAATATCATCATCGCACGAGAGAAGAAAAAAGTTCAGATAACAAAAAGAAAAACCATCAGAAGACATTAATTTACCAATATCATTTTTCAAAGAACGACAAGATAAAGGCAAATCAATAATAGTAATAACAGCAGAAAACAAAAAAAAACAACAAAAGAAAAAAAAAAGACAGATCTTCATCGATTCGGCAATGATTCTTTTACATTTTGTTTTTTTTTTATAAAGGTTTGATTTTTCTTCATTTGTATTTTCTTTTTTTTTTTTTTTTTACATAAAAGAACAAAACAAGGTATACACACATACACACAAAGCATAATATAGCACCACACATGATTTGTTTTCTGTTTTTCTTTGTTTTTTGTTTTTTTTTTTGATCGATGATAAAGAATAAATGCAACATCACACATGTATGAATAAATGAAAAGAAGAAAACATTGCACAACTTGAGCAATTAGAAAGAAAAGGTTTATAATAGTTTTTTTTTTGTTTGTTTGTTTTTTTGAATATGTTTTGATTATCAGTACGCATCGATTACAGAAAACAAAGTTTTCACTGTGTGCAACGAAGAAAAAGGAAGCACGTTTATATATATATATATATACATGAGATAAAGAAGAACGACAGCTTTTCAAATAACAGAGGAAGAAGAAAAAAAAAAACAAACAATCGATGTATGTAGATACTAGTACTGTTCGATAAAGAGAGAGAGAAAAAAATATGATATGGCATCAATGGGCTAATAAGGTGTATAGCGAACATTGTTACGCATACCCTATAAAACAAAATCTATCATCTTGTAAAAAATTTTATTCATTTAAAAATTAACTTACGGTAATAGGACCGATAGTTCCAGCTGGTGTTGCAGTTATATATGCTGTTTCTTGATAAGCATGTCTACAAGAATTTTCATGTAAAAAAAAAGAAAGAAAGTAATTATTAATACGCATTAAGCCAAGAGAATCTCAGCAGATAATAAGAATGACATTGACTGGACATGCAACTCATGCATCATGCTCGGCTAAACAATTTTTGTTGTTTTTTTTTTGTCTTTTATGAACAGAGTGCTTATATCGAGTCTGATTTGTGTAGGAGAAAAAGAATGGAGCATACCAACGGAGTAAAATTAGAAGAAAAGATAGGTCCAAATGCTGGTAATGATGTTCCATCTGCTGCTGCTGAGGGAGATAATGGACTAAGAACGAAGGATAAGATTCTCACACAAACACAAATACACACAAAATATCATATTAATAAATTAAACATAAAATATCTTACCCAAATTGAGTAGTTGGTGAAGTTATATTCGTTGTTGGTGCTCCATTTATAAAATATCCAGTTGGTGCACTAACACCATTATGCATTGGTAAAACACTAAAATAATAATCAGTTAACAAATCTTTTTTTTTTCTGTTTATTTTCTAATTCAAATTACCCAAATGTATAAGTTCCAGTTGGTTGTCCAGTCGTTGTAAGACCATGTGGTGTAGTTGTTGTTATATAACGAACACCTGGTTGTGGTTGAGCAGTAGCAGCTATTTGATAAGTTGTTAAACCACTTAAAGTAGTTAATTGATCAGGATAAATTCTTCAAGAAAACAAAAATTTTTATTTGTTTGAATGACTTCAATAAATGAAGATCGTTAAATTTTATGATTACATAAAAAAGCTATTAGCTATGCAATTTTACACAACTTACGTATATCCACCGGGTAATGCTAGACCGGTAGTAAATGCTGCTGCTGCTGTACGTAATCCTGTAGTTTGTGTAGCTGGGATTAATGTCGGACGTTGTCGTGTATTAATCATTACACCTAAAGAAAATAATATTTCCTTTTTTCTAAATAAATCATTTCAACTAACTAT